ATTTTTTTTTTTATTTCCAGAACCTGGCAACTTCTCTCTTGCTCTCTTTTTATAGTTACTCATTTTGTTTATTTACTTAAAAACATTTTCTTTCATTGGGGGAGGGGGAGGAGAATAATTTGTTTCTGTGAAAGAGAAGAAGAAAAAAATTAGAAGTTTTGAGTCAGAATCATCAATTTCTGTCTTTCTGGTGTAAGTAATGGTGTCCAGCAGAGCCCCCTTTTCCATGTTTTATAATATTTATTTTAGATAATGCACGGTTTCTTTTTCCTTACTTTTTCCTTAAATTATACATAATCTCAAATATATATTTCCCTTTCACATGATAAATTCTACTGTACCAAGATTAATTTTGCTGTTGTATACAACTGCAGTGGAGATCAGGGCAGCCTTTGAGCCATGCTTTAATATTCTACCGTGTGATGGGTTTTACAGGCATAACTGTTGCCATCCCCTTGGCTCTGGGCGTTACATGCATCAAGGCCATATAACTCCCAAGAGAGGGCAAAGTGACTTTGCCTAGTAATCTCTCGCCTCCTTTCTCTCTTATTTCATCACTCTTTTTTCCCTGTATTGTTTAATTTTTGCGTTTATCGTTATGCCACTTTTCTCCTCCATTGGCTCTCTGCTACACTGGGGTTTTGATGTTCCCTTTTAAACTTAATTTCTTATTCGTTCCTGCGTATTGTCCCTTTAGTGATGCCAAATACGCAGCTCTTTTCTCTAGTGAGTAAATCTATTTAGTAAGTCGTCTGTCTGGGGTCCTGAGTCATTCTGAAGGCCCCAGCTTAGGGAAATTCTGTTTCAATAGATACTTCTCTTGAAAATCTCCAGGAGAATATGAGATTTAAGCATATGCTTAGAAATAGGCATTTGTGTGCAGCCCTGCATAAGATTCTTTATGTTGTGCAAAATAAGTGTAGCACAGGTACAAAACACGAGGTCTTCAGGTTTGTTCCTTTTTTAGAGAAGGAATGGGATTAACTGATGACATAAGGCAGCAAAGAATAGAGCCCACTGACTTGAAGGAGCCTATTCCAAGACTAAGGATTGCAGAATCAAGCTCAGTGTGCTCAGGAACACGTCATGCTTGCTTCTTCCTCTTGCTGCACACAATTTCTGTTCGTGGAGGAATCCTTCATTATTTGTCTAGGAAGAAGAACCCTTTACAGAAATTGAAGGCCCAGCAAACACCAATGGAAAAAGATGACCTTAATTTCTGACTCCAGCCATAAAGAGCTGCGGTCTCCACATAGCAGCAGGGGCTTTACCTTCAGGGGGCATTAAGAGAGCCTCACATAGCAAGGGTTCCTGTAGCGTATTGCAGTTTATTTAGGGGGGCTGTCAGGCTTAATTAACTGATATTTATAAAGGGCTTCAAGATCCTCAAGTGGGTGGAGTATTGGGCCCAATCCTGCATTTTATTCATGCTGTGAATTTCACTGTTGTTACTGGAGGTAACTGAGAGCACAACAAAGCGAGAGTGAGTCTGGGAAATTGTGCATTTATTCTGAAAGAAAATTTTCTCTCTAAGCACTCTTGAGGAACTTCTTTTTTCAGTCCTGCACATCATGTGCCTGGACCTCTAAACCTGTAGAATCTATTTGAAGCCTTTCACACAAGGCAAATTGTGAGTCCAAGTCTTGCTTTGTGGAGGATATGTCCATTTAGCACAGAAAGTGACACAATTTCTTTATTGAAGTTAGTATTGAAGAATTTTCCAGGAACTTAAGCACAGCCAGGATTTTTCCCCAGTTCAATGAGATTTCCCCCCTCCTAACCCCAAACATATCTGATAGTCACTTTAAAGAAGGAGACATCCTTGTGGCTGGGATGAGATGATTCTAAATAAACTAGAGCTTACCAGTTCTATCCCTAGCTCTGTACTAAGAGACCAGCATTTTGTAGGAGCTATACAGGGTTATTAATATTGAAGCCTGCACACCTTTTCCATACTCAGGGTATGTCTCTGTTCACCTCAGTTTCCCCACGTATAAAATAGACATGATGCTTCACTACTTTACACAAGAGCCATGAATATTAGATGGGCGCCCAAGTACTTTGTGATAGTTGGGTGGAGGATGCGGAAGAGTGAGGTGTTATTAAGTTTTGCTGATGTAGTTGAAGCAGCCTGTGCAGACTTCTTGTCTTCTCTCTTAATCTTTGAAGACACAGCTTTCCATGGGCAGTCCCGAGGGTATCCAGACTGGCAGTATCCATGGCTGTGTGCTGGGCTTGATGCAGTGTCTATGTTCTTGTTCCAGATGTCCAAGACCAGTGCCAGCCTTGGCAACTTGCTGAACATTAAGACAGAAGGAGATGGCAGCCAGCCTGGGGCTGGAGAGCCAACACAGTACTTGGGCAAGGCAGTGAAGGCACTTGTCCAGGAGAAGCTCTCTGAGCCATGGAAGATGTACCTGCACCGGTAAGGAGAGCATGGAACTGGGAATAGAGGAAACGGAAAATTACTTCCTTTGCAAAGTATCTGGCTCATTAGTTCACACTTGAATGCAGCGTTCTCTTGAATTTAAAGGCCTAATTCCGTGATATGCTGATCATCTTCTGGAGTCCTGGCTGGCTGCAGTAGGTGTTAATGTCCTATAAGAAATACCTGTCCACATAGAACTATTTTGCAAAGGGATCTTGAGAGCCAACTACGAGCACAGATCTTCACATAGTACTGCTAGCCTGGACTTCATCTTAGGCCTCTCTTTATATCCCCAATCTGCAAGTGCAGGGGACCCACTGCAGCTTGCTCTTAGCACTGAACTTCTGTTGGACCATGTTTAGTTATTACACACAGATCACGGGAGCCTTAAAATGCTTGCTGTGGCATTTCCTCTGATCATAGGAGTAGGCCACTGAAAAAAATGAGGGGTATAGGTATGGGAACTGGGATAGTTTCTGCTGTTTTTGTTGTAGACAAGGAGGCTTGAAAGGAAAATGGAACAGATACAAAACTCTCCCACACACAGACACATGCACATACATGCCCAGACAGACGCATGCTTTGAGCATACACAGATACACCCAGGCAGACACATACGGGTTTGTGCTCTGACACAGATAGTTGCCTCCAAATGCCTGTGGACACTTCATAAATCACAGACTTCAATGGAGAAGACTAGAAAGTCTTCTAGTCCATCTGCCCCGGCCAGTGTGAGATCCTTCCCTGCAGTCCATTTGCATTTTGTCCAGCCTAGTTTTAATTATGCCAAGCAGTGTGGCTATTTTCTTGTCTCTGAGAGCATTATTCTACCACCTAATATGTTTCACTGCCACAATTTTTTTCATGGTATGCTGCCTGAATTTCCCTTTTTGTAATTTTGTTGCAGTTCTCCTGGTTATATCCCCTCAAACCACAGCAGATAACTCATCTCCACAATTGGAGTTCACCCCCTTCAGATAGTCACAGACTTTTAGCATACCATTTAAGCAAGCTTATTTACTTCCTTTAATCTGACTTTGTAAATTAGTTCCTTCAGCCTGCTGATCGTGTTGTTGCCGTTGTCGTTCTTGCTGTTCCCTGAATGGGTGCAGAATTGGGCTGCCGTTCCTGTATACCACACCAGATATAACAAGCTTCCTGCCCCCATATATGCAGCTCACAATTGTGCTACCTTGTTTGCATCTGTACTGCATAATGTATATGTATCATGTTTACCATCCGCTGTTACACAGGATTGCTTTTAATGTTGCTCTCATGAGTCCCCTATGTATAAAAGTACACCCCTCACCCCCCAGATGTATTAGCTGTATGTTTCCAAATACGACTCTCGTATTCTGAACCTTCTCCCTTGTCTTGCCAGGCCTCTCTGTGTTATTTGTCTCCTCTTGCACTGGTGTGGCCAACTCCTCCCAGTTTAGTGTCTTCTGTGAATTTCATTAACACGCTGTTTACTCCTTCTCCTAGATTACTAATGAAGATGTTAAATAAGCTCAGACCTAACCAAAGTCATCCTTGCAGCATTCACAAGATACCTCCTCCCAGCTCAATACGTTGCTGTTTGTCATTAGCCTTTGTTTACGGTCCTTCAGCCAGTTTTCAATCCATGAGGTAGCATTCACATCCAGGCCAATTTGAATTAATTCTAAGCATATGCGAGACTGTATCAAAATGCTTTACTAAAATCCAAATATATTGCATCCCTTCATCCACTAATTTTGTAATTCTATCAAAAAAAGCAATTAAATTTGTCTGGCAAGATTTATTCTTTATAATCCTGATGCTGTTTATTGCTCATGGTTCCTTTATCCTCTAGATGTTTAATGATTTTCTCCTCCCTCTTAATATTTGTTCCATTACTTTACTGGAAGGAGAAGTTAAGACTAGAGGTATGATAATTACCAAAGATCACATGTCTTTTTTTTCCCTGAAAGAATCAGTTCCTAGATTTTTTTTTTCTTCCCAGTTTCCTAGTACCTCCCTCTTCTCTATGCCTTAAAAAACAGCAAATAGTAATGCAATCAGTTTGTGAGTTAATTTCCATTGCACTTCAGGACATACATCATCCAGACTGGCTGATTTGTGCATATTTATATTTTCCAACCAGTCCCTTTATCTGCTCTTCTAGAAGGTCTTCATTTTATCCCTAATTGTCTGCTTTGTCTTTAGTTTTCCTATCCAAAGCAAATTTTATAAGGCAGCCGTTTTTGATTCATCACCTCGCATTTTTATGAGACCTTCTTTCTAAGTACAATACCTCTTGTCCCTGATGAAACAACCCCTTTAGCTTGCAGTAACTTGGTTTCTTACCTCTTACCACAGCTTTACTTTCCTTCATCTTCTCCCTGCAAGCCCTAACTGACTGCCTATATTTTATATCCACTGACCTTCCTTCTCCAGTACAAGTTTTTTTTTCTTTTTCCTTTACCCTCAAATTGTGAAGACATCCCTCCTGGGACCACCCAGGCTGCTGTTTGTTTCTTGCTTTCCTGCTCATCAGAGCAATTGTAGTTTGTTGTATCTTAATTATGCAAGATTCCCCTGTTAAGTTTCAAATCCTTCCTGCCAGTGTTTTTTACTTGATTTCTCGATTCCCTGTGATTCTGGAGTTTCCTGAAATCACATGTATTTGTGCTACTCTTATTAAGTCTGGAGAATCTCAGGTGGATGAGCAGTGAAACCCTGCTTAGTTGTTTTTGCCCTCTTGACCATTTCCTCCGAGATGACAAGAGGCGTATCTTAGATGATGGCTTTTGCTCTGGTTTTTGCATTGCAGCATTGTTTCTTCTGTACTTCAGGGATTGTGCTTTTCAGTATTTATGCATACTAGGCTGTAATTGCTATATAGGCAACACTTCGTCTCTCCCATCTGTGTGATACCCTGTTGTTTCAAGGTGGGGGGCGGGTGGATTCTGGATCTAGATTCCCTTGAACCACCGTAGTTTCTTCCCTTTTGCTACTCCCGGTAGATTGAAACAGAAAAAAAAAAAAAGACTGGTAATGTTTCAGCAATGTCCTCTTGGTCTGGATTTCCCTTAATTTACTAACCTTTGATCGTTCCTCAGAGCCTTGGCTTTTGTACCAAGGCGCTCAAGAACACTAATGATTTTCATCTTTTGTTTCAGAGTAGTTCTGTATTTTGCTCCCACTAAAAGTGAATGGGAGTTTCACGGTCAAGTTCAATTGGAGAGAAATTAGGTTCTTGTTCTGCATGTTCAGATCTATATAACAGGCAATAATCAAGCAACAATGCCAGCAGTGCTGTTTCTGCAGCAGGACAGTGATGTTAGAAAACAGAACGGTAGTAGAGTTGAAAAACAAAGAAAATACGTCTGTTCCAACACCGCTTCTCTTCTGGGGCCTTCCATAAGATGCCTGCTTGTCTGCTTTGGCCAGGTTTGGTACCAAGGATTTCTGCGATGCACAGTGTGACTTTCTCCATAAGGTGCATTTCCATTGTGTCGTGGAGGAATGCGGTGCCCTCTTCAGCACCCTGGATGGAGCCATCAAGCATGCCAAGTAAGTAGGAGAGCGCGAGTCTTGGGAAACCTTGAGAAAACTCTACAACACGCACACTGCAGGACGAGAGAGACCTTACTGAGTAACTCTATTCAAGAGCAGGAACGTGGGCAGTCCTGAGGGCAGCAATTTGGGCATCCACATGCTTCCTGTGTAAATGTGATCAGCTAAACACTGTGTCCTCTTCAATTTTGTTTCACAATAAATGCACTCAACTTGTGAAGAAGAGGTGTCTCTCACAATGTTGGCAAGGCTGAGAATTGGACATTCGTGTTTTTCCGTAGCCTACTTGACTGACAGTGTGTTCAAGGAGACCCATATTTCTCACAGCGCACAAATACACCATGCAAAGAAATAACAAAATATGGGAGGGAGAGGATCCTGTAAACCCAACCATTGTCACAAGATACAGACTTTTTGTGGATTAGACAGCTCCTCATCACTGCAGTGTAGAAAGCATTTTACTGTTCTTTGTATTGTCATGACAAATCTCTTAAGTTTTCCCTAGCCCTTAGGTTATATGGTTTTGTTTAAGAGTTTCACATCATGTGGATGAGGATCTTGAAATGAAGCAGTCAAACTGTCCAGCCCAACAGCAACCTCCTTCTCACCTTGCCATGTTCTATATTGTAAACCCTTTATCATTTCACATCATTTTGGAAAGTAGCAGACAGCCCAGAGTTTGGTAGCCAGAACTGTAGGCTAGATAATATGGCCTATATTACAGAGGCTGTACAGGATGGTCAGAACTCTAGATGACTGTTGGGTGAAGAATGAATTTGAGATATGCTCCCACTGTTACAGTGAGGGGACTAGGAAAGGAAGGGTGGGATATTAGAAATTTTCCCTGTTGCAAATTTCTACAGAGCATAATCTGCAGTTCAAAACCACGCTAAGTTCCTTTTAAAGGCAATGGAAGGTTTGCCCGAGTAAAGAATTAATAAGGCCTTCAGCAGCTGGCCACACGACTGATTCTGAAGGGGTTTAAAGGGAAGGAGATGTTGCAGATTTTAAGACAGAAAGATCTGTTAGCACAGTTGGTCTCTGGCGTTGGATAGTTCCCTGTGGTTCACTACTACAAACTACTGGCTTCTCACAACAGCGATGGGAAGCTGCCCTCATAGGCATATTGGTCTTACTGACTGCAGCGATTCTTCCATCTCTCTGATGTCAACATGTTACTGCACCTTTCTGTCTCCACGCCCCTTAATGAATTCCCTTCTCTTCACAGTCAGTCTAGGAGGCCTCCGAATCTTTCCACGTTTGCAGAGCCTCTTTTAGGATTTAACCTCAGCTGATTTGTTTGCAGACTCCTGCCACATTCCTGTTGATGTTTAATCAAGTTACATGCAATGGTCAAGAATTTATGTCTGAATCACACTGTCTTTGCAGTTTTCACTTCCGAACTGAGGGTGGAACTGTGAAAAGTAACTCAGAGTCTCCCTTCTCAACTACTACTGAGAATAAGGCTTCACTTGCCCCTTCATCACCATCTGCTACTTCTGTCACCATGGCAAGTGCTCCTGCCCTCGACGTGCCCACTCCAAGTCCAGCTACTGTGCCCTCTGCCCCTACACTGCTCGCTTGGAAGCAGCTGGCTTCAACCATACCCCAGATGCCTCAGATCCCAGCATCAGTGCCTAATCTGGCAAGTTCACCCTTGGCAACGACTTCCCTGGAGAACGCCAAGCCTCAGGTCAAACCCGGATTTCTCCAGTTCCAGGAGAAGTAAGTTGTAGATGCTGCTTGCCTCCTTGTGTCCTCTCCAGCCTTGCAATCCCCTCTTTACCACTCCTCAGAGCTGTAGTACTACAGCTATATTTGCCTACTGAGAGACCTTCTGTCTAGAAAGTACTGTGGACTTTCTCTCACAGAAAATTTACTTCTATCAAGTCTTCAGTTATCCTAGGAAAAAAACCAAGATTTTTGAGTACATCTGGGAGCACTTTTAGGTATGAGTTTTGAGGAGAAAAAAGCTTGCTGACATATCACTGAAGCATTTTTTATACCTCATGAGAGGTGTACAGAAATACATGCATCTTTGCAGTATTTTTGACCCTGAAGGCTACAGAGGAAGCATAGCATCTTTAAAGTTTTCAGCATGACGCCTGACTAGCCCACCTCCAGATCTTGCTGCAAGTCTGAGACTTGCCATGAGTTTCTGTAGTTGAGCAAAAATCAGTGGGCAACTGAGTGCTCAGTCATGCAAAGGTGAGGTGTTACTGCAGCAAAGTACACAGAACAAAGAGTAGATGTTTACAGATTGCTGAAAAGGAAGCTTGCTGGATTTCTCCTAGATTTGTCCCCAGTAAGCTCTGTGGCCTTTTCCTAGGAATGCCATCTGTAACTCGGTATAATACAGCTTTTTTTTTTTTTCCTGTGAAGTCGACTGGGGCTCAGATAGTGGAGAGGTCACGAGTGCTTGGACTCTGCCTTACCAGGAGTGGGTCTCTCGGCAGCTCAAGGAATAGGGAGCAATTCTCTCTTACTTCAGATTTGTCAAAGTTTTGCTGTCCTGGCTGAACTTTTGTAAAGTGTAATGAGTCTTCTTAAGTTCTATGCCTCTGGTTTTGTAGTGTTAGTTTACAAAGTTACAAACAATGCAGGTTGTCTGGCAGAAAGTAACATAACCTCGCTGAAGTTCTTCTAAAACATTAAAAAAGTTTCACAGTGTTGCTGTAGTGATGGTGTTATTTCTGTTACATCGACAGAAAGAGGCACAGAAGTTACGTAGTTTACAGGAGAACACAGGAGTCCAAGATCAGGTTAGGCATTACAGCTTAGTTATTCAGGCTGGTGGAATATCAGTCTCTGGGTCGTATATTGACAGTCATTTGTCTGCTTTCAAAGAAGTGTGTTAACTGAGTACGTATCATTGGGTACAGTGCTTGGGATCCAAGAGATCAATGTTCAGCTACCTCCGATCTGACCCCTGTCTGTGCAGCCAGAAATCCATGGAATGGGTGGGGGGAGTAGGGTACCAAAACCATTTAGCTGATTAAACAGCCCACTGCCAATTTTGTCTAATCAGGGAAAGCCCTAGCATCTTGCAGTGTGCATGCCCAAGAGTTTCATTTCAGTTACACAAAATTGAGATGGGAAAAATCTGAATCCATTGAGGTAAGTACAGGCAGAAAGGGAGAAACAGCATCTATCCAGATCTTGAGAAACTTTAAATTGGGAGAGTGGACCTCAAAGACTACAGGACCCACCATGCATTGCTGTGTTTTAATAATCTTAATGAAGAAAGTGCATTAGCTTGGTGGAATTGCAGTAGTGTTGCCAGCATCAATTTTACTAAAGAGGAAGGTGTCTATGGGAAATCTGTAAGCCATGTTTGGAACAGAGGCTTCAGCTGGGCTCCCCTTGAATTAAATTTTGGCAAAGAAACAAATGTGTGAAATGAGTGAAGGTGATGATTGGGTTTTGGATGTATTCCAGTGATCCCTGCCTGGCAACGGACTGCAAGTACGCCAACAAATTCCACTTCCACTGTCTCTTTGGGAACTGCAAGTATGTGTGCAAAACCTCTGGCAAGGCAGAATCCCACTGCCTGGACCACATCAACCCCAACAATAATTTGGTGAATGTGCGAGACCAGTTTGCTTACTATTCGCTGCAGTGTCTCTGTCCAAACCAGGTAAGAGCAATTCAAAAGCCGTGTTCTAGCCTGACTGTGTGTGCGGGAGAAGAAGAATGGGGAAGAGCAAGTAGACTACCCAATAGGAAGTGAGGCTGTGTTTCATTCTGGTCTAATTACAGAACCATGGAAGGGTCTTAATTGCGTCGTCTAGGAAGATGGTTTCCATCAAATTGAAAATTGCACTGCTTTTACGTTTCTTTGACTTGGGTGAAGTGGACAGAGAAACTAGAATGATCTGAGGCACAAGATGAAATAAAAATCTATGATGAATACCAGGGAAAGCCACAAGTTAGGTTTGGGATATTTCAACGTAGAATAGAGCAATACAGACTACATGACAGCAATACAAAATACATGACAGGGAACAAGTTTACATTGCGGCTTGTAGAAGATAAAATGGATGTGATCTAGAGTATCAGTTCAGGGCTCTCTCTCGTGTCTTGGAGGGACAGCATTAGTAGCAGGGAGGTGAGAGTGCATTTGGTTTAGATACGCTTAAAGCAACCTGCCTGTTTGCTCCTCTCTAGCACTGTGAATTCAGGATGCGAGGGCATTACCACTGTCTTCGTCCTGGCTGCTACTTTGTGACTAACATCACCACCAAGCTGCCCTGGCATGTGAAAAAACACGAGAAGGCAGAGAGAAGGGCAGCCAATGGCTTCAAGTATTTTACCAAGCGAGAAGAGTGTGGCAGACTAGGTGAGTTTTCTTCTCTTTCCCCTGTCACCTTTCTCATGTGGTCTGTCCCATGTCCAGGCTAAGAATGCCATGAGTTAGAGCCTGCGAGTTATGCTTAAGATGTATTTGGTCATTAAATCGCTAAACGAGAAATGGAACAAAACAGAAAGCAGTTCCTGATCAGCCTGAGTTGAAGCATCTTTTCCCAAATAGACCCAAGTTAAATGGATAGAAACTGTAATACAGAGGATTT